TTTTCTTTATTCATGCCGACTCTCTAGATCAACGTATCGTTTTCAACAGCTTTGTCAGCTGTTAGTTATATTCACTATAACCATCGACAGTGGCAAATAATGTTACGTGTGTGTATTTGTTTGAAGATCTGAAAGTGTCAGCTTTAGAAAGAAACGTTAGTAGTGTTTTATAGCGAGGTGAGTTAGTTGCTTCATTTATCGAATTGCCTTAAAGCTATGGCACCAGCATTTTCACAGTTTTGAAATTCATAATACCCAATATGGGTAATAATTTAAGCTTTCATAATGAGAGTTAAAGCAAAATCGATGAAAAGTAATAGATGCTTCTTACCCAGTCAAATCTTAAATGCCAGAACTGTGAAGTGATGCACTGGGAGATAGTCGCTGCAAATTTTGCCATGGACCACTTTCATGATAATATTGTTGAAGGCGCCGTAAATCGGCTGAACTTGTGCTTCAATGGGCTAATTTTTGTTGCAAACGTGTATGTATACTACATAAATTGTAATTTGAACATTTATATTAGTCACCTCCTTCGGGCTATTCACATCCAAGAATTCAGATGGTGGTGATCCATTAGCAATGACTTATTTTCGTGAGGCTTGAGACATAAATATTTGCTGGATACAACAGGTTTTTCTTGAGTTGTGGTGAGCTCTTAGGATCAGAATTGTAAAAACGAACATATTCATGATAAAAATAATATTAGTTGGGCGTAACCATGGTACCACTTTGGTCCCCATGAATATTTGGTCGCTTTTATGTAGTGATGCAAAAATCCTCCCCCGCGGTATGTAGAGGTGGTCGTTCATAGATTAGATTAGTAGTGAACGCGGAAATGGCGTCTGCACTTCCAGACAATAATTTAAGCGTTCACGTAACATTCTCCTATCGGGGAACATGTGAAACCCCTAGCGATATTAACTTTGCTTTCCCGTCCTGCTCCCTGGAAACTGATAATTTCTCTCATTAGCGTTGATGTTGAATTGGAAGTGGGCTGGGTGCGCAAAAAGACCTCTTTAGACTCTCTTCCTTCACACACGCCCCACTCCATTAGCAGTACGGATAACGCTTTAAAAAAATCGGTTTCACGAAACTGGGTTCGGATTGAAAGTGGGAAAAGCCAGCTTCCAGTTATTAAACGGCAATCAGCGAGAATGCAATTTGCCCTTTCTACGTAATATCGTCCTTGGGGCAATTGGACCAGAGTAATTATATGACCATGAACAGAGGTTTTGGTCTCAAGCAGTGAAATGCAAATACAGTCGAATTTTTAAGACTATATTATTTACTTAAGGAAAGTAATGGCAACGCAGTTTTATTTGTTTCGAGTCTCTAGGGTGAATAAAGGATGGGCGTGAAAGGGGGAGGGGGGAGGTAGGTAAATAAAGCATACTACCCTTTAATTACAGCCAACCAAAGTTGTTCTGCGTGAAAACATAATACGTTATTTTATTAAAAATGGGTTAGATAGATCCTCTCACTTTTGAACGACAGCCCTACACACTAAAGAAAGGGTTTATACAGATCTTTTCGCTGAGTCAGGTGCTTTTTGATACTTGAAACTGATGTCAGTGTGACAGACAACGTAAATTAAGAATATCAATCTGCTTGATATTAACAGAACTGCCTGTACTTAATAGCGCAGTGTGGGAATATTCTTTGCCCTACTCCTCTTCAGACAAGACAGGACAATTTTCACCATCTTATTGCAGCGCAACAAAACGAAAAAAGCAGTGATGACTAATGCACATAAGACACAAAAGCGAATCGACTATCGTGGAGACTTTCAAAATTATATTAAAAAATTTCTTGTTGTTTTCTTTTTTTTTTGTTCTTGAGGGGGGGGGGGGGGGGCACACAACACAATTCTACAGATGATTTCTTTTAGAGAGAGAAACAAGCCATTGGTTTAATAAGTATAAAATCGGTATTATCA